GGATATATGCGACAGCGCCCTTCTAGGGGGGGGCGGGGGGATTGTGCTCGTCCCTCTTCCAAAGATATCAAGGCAGCAGTACTCGGAGTAAGATATGGTGGACTAACCAGTGATGCTCCTGTGCTACTAGTTAACGCTGCACCGATGCTCCCATTCGTCATCGCTCCACCGATTCCTACCTGTTTGGATAATCGTGAACATTACAACGAATTTCGCCCACAGGTCCAATAACTGCGATGGAGCACTGTTTCCATGAAACCCGCTCTCTCTAGTGTCTCGGTGGCGAATGTTAATGTTCGCGATATTTGACCCCGGTATGGTATCGACATCTGTGGAGCCGCCCTCTCTTCCTCGGCAGATGACCCGAACACCATCGCCTCTGACCGCAACGATTTTGCGGTGCCCCCTTTTCTGTAAATCGACCTTTTGAGCGCCGGCACCCACTGTCCTTTGTTTGTCCGCGTTCCGGCTTCCCAAAACGAACCGCAGCAACAAGAATATGCCTACAGTTGGTAGTTACACAGAAAAATTCCGGGTACATGCCTCGTGAACACCGAAATTCATCTGTGCTGGGGTGGCAATTCGACTGATATCGTTTTCGAAGACGACTACGACGACGACAATTAGCACCCACAACAACAATAACAGTAACAGCTGCAATAACCATGATGGTTTTTCTTTCCCCACCAGGTTCGGCCGTTCACGCGACATATCTGTCTTCCGCTCCTCCCCCCTCGCCGATTACAGGGCGGGTATCGTGATCTCTGTTTGTGTCTTGCGGTCACCACAAGCGTTTTTCGAGCATCTTTTTCCATCCTTCCACGTTTGGTTTTTGAATGTTTCGGCTGTTCAAGCTGCGTCGATCCCTCTCCCCGTATCCGTCCACTACACGTCAGACGTTCGACCGAACACAGCTGGCTGCCCACATAATGAAAGAACACCACAACGACACCGCTTTCTTCCCTACGGCTGGTTGTCCAAAAAGAAAGAACACTCTTCTACAGCAAGGCCACTTTTTTTGCCTCCTCGATCTTGGAACAGGTGGGCATCATGACCGCCGTCTTCGTGGTGCTGCTGACCGTCAACCTGCTCAAGGGCGGCGGTGCCTTCGACAGCCCCGTGGGCATCGTGTGCGGGTCGTTTTCCTTCTGGGCGACCTCTGTCCTGTCCTTCGTCTACCTCGTGGGGGTCTCTTTGTGAGGATGGATTGTTTTTGGCGCTGGAAGTGTTGCAGGACCCGATTGGGCTACAATTCACACGAGCCTCTGATATGTTTTTCTTAGTATAACCTGTAAGGACAGTTTTGGCGCTGGAGGTGTTGCAGGACCCGATTGGGCTACAGTTCACACGAGCCTCCGTTTATATTTTTTATCTAAATATGTATCCATATCTGTCCACAGATAAGGGTCTAGGATAGATTGGTGATAAATTCACCGCTAAAGGAAACCGACTGTTCACCGCCCCTCCCCCCGTCCACCGCTCGCCCTCCCCTCCGTCGAAACCCCAGGTACGTGCGGAGGTATCTCGTCAACAGGTGGGTCTTGAAGGCGGAGGTGGGGTTCGAGTACGTGGAGGGAGACGTGGAGTGGACGCCGCTGAACACGATCAGGTACCCTTGCATCTGCTTCTTCGCCGGCTTCTTCGCGGGCATGTTTGGCGTCGGCGGGGGGATCGTCAAGGGGCCGCTTATGCTGGAGATGGGTGAGTCCAAGATGTACCAGAAAAGGGTGCAAGAGCATGCTGGTGCACACGACGCTGGTGGTGCCTTCTTTTGTCCATACCGGGATAACCAAGGGCCCAAAAACAAAACGGTATATACCAGATGGTTTCCTTTGGTAAACGGTATATGCCAGATGTTTCCTTTTGTTTAGCTCCAGGGAGTTTTTGTGTTTGACAGCAGTAAGGCGAGGACAAACCTCCAACAGTTAGGGACACAACGCATACGGCAGCAAAGAACGCTCTTTACCTGGCTGGGATTGCGAAAGGAGCCTACACTCACCAGAACAATACTAAATGAGAGAAAACACGTCGAGAAAAGGCACGAAAGTCTAGCAACGGACGGCTCCAAGAACACAACAACGGTGGTAATAATCTGTCTGGGGTGCCGAATGCGCGAAGGAGGCACAGGTTTGAGGCCGCCCTTTCCACATCCCGGCAGCACTGGAGTTGGCGGAGCCCCTCTCTGAAAGGACAATAAAATGCAACATGGTGTGTGGTGACTTCTGCCGCCAGTTCGGCGCGTTGGTGAGGAAGAACTTCCTCGCCAAGAGGCGCTCCAAGCTCCAGCTGGTGAGATCAGAACCTTTGGTCGTCGGCCCATTTAGCCATTTAGTTTTCGGTATGTACTGCTTTGCTTGTAAGCGTGCGGGGCAAGGGAACAGCAGTAGGCCAAAGCCAGGAAATCAGAAATCTGCAACACCCGTTCTTGCGTCACTTTTGCTCGTCTGTGTTTGAGAGAGGAAGCTTGTCGCGGTGACCATGGCCACACTGGTGGCGGAGACACCTAGGCTTGGGTGCGAGCTACTGCAGTACTGCCCGAGCTGGTGATGATGCCCCACGATCGTTTTGCCTCACCCCCTCTCTCTCTGTTGGGGCTGCCGCTGCTCGTTTCCTCTCCTGCAACAAGGAAGATGGAGACCGGATCCCCCCCACCGCCCGACGAACAGCAACTGATGTTCTTTACGCAACAAGTAACAACAACGCGGTGTTTGCCTATCTTGCAGCCGCGATGTGACATGCAGAAAAGGCTGCGCGCTACTGCTGCTGCTGCAGCAAACCACGCGATGACAAAGGAATAGTTCAGCAGCAACAGGCACCTCGCTAATGTGTTTCGCATCGCATGCGGTGTTGGTATGTGAAAGAACGACTAACGAACATGTCAAGCGGTTCCTGATGCCTCCGACACGTCGGTGTCCACACACAACACACCGCGGTATGCAGGGCAGGGGGTTGAGCCGGGGCTTGATTGCCCCCCCATTCGTTTTATGCACAACAGCAAGCAATGATTCCCTATGTGTACGTGAAAGAGCAAAGAGAGCGGCGGATATTGTTTAAGTAGCATAATACGCGGTTCAGGCACACCACCAATATGCAAGATCTCACCTAAAACTTCTACAATAGACTAGATAGGCGGTTAGCGTACGCCGTGCTTCAAGAAAGAGACGAGTATATGCGGAAGAATGTGAAGTGGGGCCCGGGGGCACTGCAACTCCCCTCTGATGAGCTCGTATCTTGCTCTTCTTTCGCACGGGTTCGTCCGCGGCTACGCCGAGGTGCGAGTAGATTTCCTCCACTCCGATACAATAATGCGTCGTCGTCAGAGAGAAGACAGAGCTGCAGGTGGCCCTTTAGGTGTGCATGCAGAGAAAATTGTTTCTTCCCAGAGGGAAGGTGGACGGACAGATTGTTCATGCCAGCCGACACCTTGCAATTATTATTCCTTAGACTAATTGCAATAAAGAGTTCTGCCAAGGGGGGGTTGATTGCTCCTTTCTTGCCCTCTCCTCCTCGAGAGCTATGAATGTCTTGTTCTTTCAACAGACAACGTGCAGAACACTCTACCTTTGTTATTGAGGCATTAGCTTCCTTTCCACACAACGAGAATGATGCAACAGACAGCAGTCTTCTTTTGCGGACTACCTACTCCTCAAATTCGAGCCCCATCTCGGAACCCTTGGTGAAAATGCATAAATTTACGCACGCGCTTATCCCTCTGTGCTGAAGTGCCTTGCTCGGGGCTGCTGTTCATCTCTCTCATGCTTGTCGTCTGCGTGCTTGCTGCTTGTCATTAGGCAATCGAGCTTATCGTGCCGGCGCTGGTCATGCTGCTCATCGGGGTCATCAAGAACAGCATTAGTCCCAAGGAGCTCCCAGCGGGGACGCCTGCCACCGACACCCCCGTCGTCACCTACGAGGCCCTGCAGAACACCACCGTCTCCCCCAACGTCCTCTGCTACGACAACAACGTGTTCCATAGGCGAGCTATCTACATTACGACCGTATGCGTAGAAGTTTATGTTCCATGCATAAGCCGTGCTGGCGGTCCGAACACAAACAGATGGACCCACAGACGAAACGCTGTATAGAATATTTTGAAAGTAGGCGTGCTGCTGTCTGGACACTGCTGTAGCAGCAGGGTAGGGTCCCCGGTTACCTTGTAGGGTCTGCGTGCCCCTTGCCCGGTCTTTTTTCGTGGTAAGCTTATAATCACTTTGCGTATCGGCTGTCCCATCCAAAACTCGCTCTGTAGGGGCACTACGCACAGCACCCGAGTGTACCGGCGGTTGTTTCTTCATATTGCGGTATTGCATTGCTGTGTGCCTTTGTGTTTCCTTCAGCGCGCCTTACCGCAATTACCATCATAAACAACAGCGAACCGGGTTACCGATTCGGGTTAGTCGAACCGGGTTATCCCGGGTTACCGGATTGTGAACCCGTTGTCGGTGTTCGTCGAGATGTTGTTTTCGATCGGGTTCTCCGGGCCGGTCGTTGTTAGGAGTCGCGCCGCCTACAGTATTGCGAGGCGATGCATGCAGAACGAGAGTTTGCCGGCGTCGCCTGCCGCGACACACCCAACGCGGTGGTGGGGGACCAGGGGGTTGTCTTAGCTAGCCGGGGGCCCCCTCTGTTGTTGAATAGCTTGATGTTTGTGCCGTCACCTTCGATGGCGAGAGAATCGAAGTAACGTATCATGTGTAGCAGGATTGTGTGCTACACTGCTGTTGACTCTGTTGAGGGGTACCGTAGTTGAGTATGGCGTGAGACGCACTACTCCTGTTCATGTAGCATACGCCAATGTTTGGTAGCAACAAACCGCGGCAGCCGAAGACGGTTTACCGCCGCATTTGCGACAGTATTCCCTTGCACCGCACGATACAACCGCAGCCAGCCAACCAGCCCCGCGACTATCGTGGAGGTCTTCTTTCTATGAAGGGGTGTGGGTTTTGGGTGCGAAGAGACGAGGATGTTTGCTGCTCTTGTGCAGACGGTGAAACGAAGGCGCCGACAGCGACTGCAAACAGCAACGAATGCTCATGACGGCCCTCCTTCTACTGTTATGTTCCCAATTCCTATGAAAAGGTGCGGTCCTAATGAACTCCTCCTCACACTTTTTTTTGTTACCGATCCCCCAATGATCAGGTGCGGGTGCCACAGGAGCACCGATGACTATGAACCCCCAGAATCCTACGTCTCGGGTGCCGCCATTACATTTACCGCAGCGGTAAGAGCGGGGTTGGCGACAGAAGGCGCACACGCGCGCGCACGAGTTTGTTGTGTGTTTTCTCCTTTTTAAGCTGACACGATGTAGGTAGTTTTTTGCACGGATGGCGTGGTCGATGCTCGTGCCAGTAAAAGCATAGACGCGAGCGTACGCACAACGAACACTTGGGGGACCCGCGGTTTGGAGCCTCTCTTTCTGCTGTCCTGCTTCGGGCGACGTTTGCATGGTGTTGGGAGCGCTCGAGGGCGGGGGGGGGGGGATAGCGCTCTATTCAGCTTATTTTCGTTCAATATAAGCAATTCTCGTGAATCAAGTGTTGTTGATCCGTGGGTTTTTCTCTGTGCCTTTTCCCCCTTTCGACGACGATGCTTTATATATTGACACAGGCAGACATGTGTGTTGGCACGAGAGCTACATGCTTGTTCTGCCACTCTCTGCTGTGCCCAGAAGAAAAGGGTGTTCATCTAACCACTCCCAATGCCGCACCCAGGCCATGCAATCGTTTGAGATTGGAACTCGCGCTTGCGTTTCATTTTCGTGGAAGTACTTCGTACGTAGCACCGGTATGATTTCGCTTGTTTTCGTCCGTTTCGTGACAAATCAGGCTATCTGGGCTACCCAACATGACTCGGACACTCTCTTGAGCCACTGCCAACTGGCGCTCGGCGCTGTGGCCTCTCTCACGGACGACGCTCTGTGCACCGGTACTAAGGCAAGAGAGAGAGGACAAGTGTAATGCGGTTCGATGCGATTCGGTGATGTCACCCACAAGAGAGAGAGAGAGCGAGGATGAGAGGTTTTGGTCATGTAAAGATTGTACAACAGTGGTATCGTTATTGCGGCAAGGGCTCAAACGAGAAAAACGTTGCGGTGGCTTGTCATGCTGCTGCTGCTGCTGCTGCTGCTGCCACGGACGGTGTTTGTGCGGTGTAGCTCCCTCGGGAACGCGATTTTTGAGTGCTGTGTTTTCGCGTTGGAGCCTGTGCGGCCGTGAGCACTCCTGCCACCCACTTTATAGAGACCCTAACCTACCCCCTAACACCCAACATCTCTGAGCACGCTTCGCTTTCGCAACCTGACCCCCCCCCCCTTCTGTTGTCCATACGACGACATACCATTCCATGCGACGACATACCATGCTTACCGACACCCGAAACCATCGACTCAACCACCCTCATCGCGGGGCGACAACAACGACAACAACAACAACAACAACAACAACAACTACAACTACAACTACAACTACAACTACAACTACAACTACAACTACAACTACAACTACAACAGTTCATCCGGCTGATGTGCGACTCCGACGAGTTTCGAATGCTCGGCCTCGTCCTCGACGAGGCCCCGGAGATCGACGAGTCGTGCGGGGACGGCACCACCGACAGCCTGGACACCTCGGGGCAGGGCTACGTGACCGTGATGCAGGACGCGGTGGCTCTGATGGCGGCCGACTCGGACCTGTCCATCCCGGCCGCCGAGATCGACTCCGTGTGCGAGGTGGGTTTGTTGCCTCCTGTCGGTGACGTAAGATATCACCCCCCTCGATTTTCGAGGATCGATTGCTCCAAACATGGCGGGCGTTGGAACCGCCGTCCCGTCGAGAGCCTTACCGAAGACGTCAGTCAATATTTTGTTTTATACAGCAGTGCCGGCTACGATGTAAGACAGAGGCGTGACAAGCCGAAATCTTTCTCTTGTATCCGGCTTTCTCTTGTTTCGTTTCAAGATAATTTTCCGTTATTACGAAAGAGCACGATGTAAGAGACTTTTCTCTTACATCGTAGCCAATTTCTCAAGGGCCGTTTAGAGCAGGGATTCTTCCCAAATTGATGTCAGAGATCCATGAGCGCATTCAAAACCATGTGAACGTCGTGCTGCAGCAACGACATTGTGCGTCGGTCTCACTCAACGCACCGTTGGTCTGTTTTATTGAGTGCATGCCCGTAAAAAAGAAAAAAAAAGTCATGCGTACTTCGGTTGCGCGTCTGCTACGCGCTGCGCCTACCAATGCTCGCCCCAGCGAAAATAATGCTTGCAGGTGATGCATGCACCCTTACTTACATACACATGCATGTGTATAAAAAAATAGAAAATGCCCAAATCAACCGGGAAAGCAAGTGCAGAAAACCGTGCCCTCTTCCCACCCCATTGATGTTTCCTACAACCACTCTTTCGTGCCTCCTTTCCATGTCAGCAAAAGTCTCTCATGCTCGGTTTAAGAGAATTCGTCAGGAATACGGCGAATTATCTCTTATATCGGTTTTAGCCGTGACAAGCCGATTTCGTTCTCTTGTATCGATTCTCTTATTTCGTAGCCGGCACTGTGCATGCTCTTCGTCGGGGAGTGGTCGAGCTTTGGAAGTCGGGTGTGGTGTTTACCGTCGCATAAATCGTGTTGTTGGCAGATTTGACTAGCACCCACCCGTCCACGGGCGCAAGTTTGGTGAGTGCATGCCATGCTTGTGGTGGTGGTGTTTGCAGGGTGTTTTTGGTTTTGGGGAATGAATCCTTTTTTCTTGTGCGTTCGTGTCACCCGTTGATGACGTCCTTTTCCTGCCTTCTGCTTGCTGCTATGGGTCCGATCTACAATTCCCCTTCTCTATGCCACGGGAGAGAATTAGCACACGCCCACCACCACCGGCTGTGAAAAGGGAGGTCTATTGGACGACAGAGCTTGTACTAGGCGTGGTGATGCGTACTCTCGTGTTCAGCCGACGTTCCGCCACGATGCAAGCCGACGAGCCACGCACGAGAACCAAGGAAAAGATAATCATTTTCTGACCGTGCGTCGTCGTCGTCGTCCCCCGTACCACAGACAAGCCTTCACGAGATCCAATATTTACGAAACCATGCGTTTTTTGTTTGCCATCCATCCCCTTCTATCGCTTCCCCTCCTGCGCCCGCGCGCTTTGTTTACTTTCTCTCATCGCCCTCTCTCGTCGTCTCCCCCCCCCCCCCCCTCTTGTTGTATCGAATCGTACAACACTGAAACAGAGGCTGACTTTCGCCGTTATGCCGGCCGACGACGGGGCAGCCGCCGACGAGGCCGCCGACTTCTACGACTACGTCACCGAAGCCTTCCCCGACACGCAGAGCCACTGGATCAGCTACGACTCGGAGTCGGAGTTCCTGGACATCATCGGCGAGGGAGACTACTCTCAAGACGCATTCGACGACCGGCCCGCCTTCGTGGCGGGGATCGTCTTCACCTCCGGCAGCCCGGACTGGGCGTACACGGTGAGCGAGTGGGCGGATGAACACATGTATGTACCGCTGTGGTACTGGTTACAGTAGAGGTCCCTGTTTAGTGCCGGTTGAATAGTGCCAGTTGCCGGTATGGTGTTTTCGGCTCGCACACACTGGAATACCAAGTCGTTCTGTACTTTGAATTGTGCCAGTTGGTGTCCGGTTTAGTGCCGGCGAAATTTCCAGGGACCTCTACCGTATTTTATCACACCACACGATAATGTTCTTGTTCGCATAGATTCGGTTTCGATCAACAGATGTGTTTACGTGCTCAGGTGCTACATGCAGGTGTAGCCCCTCCCATTTCCGTTGGCACTGCCCCCTCGATCAACCGGTCGACCTCCTCTCCCCCCCCTCCTCCCCTCCGCCGCATACGCCCTGTTGCGCGCGCGTGCGTCACTCTCCGCTCCTTCCTGTCCGCCGTGTCGTCTACCAGATCCGCGCCAACATCACCAAGAGCGGGACGGACTCTGACTCGTACTACATGTTCAACGTCCCCGAAACGGAATCTCCGACGGAGAACAACTGCAAGTCTCCCACTGACTGCCCCGAGGATGACGAGGGGCGCGAGAACTTTTCGTGGGCTGCGGTACGTCGACGGCGTGTAAACAGATTAATAGTGATCATGTGTTTTCGTTGGTTGGTTGGTCGATGGTCGTTGTTGCTGCGTGCCTGCTGAGCATGCTGTCATGACTGACCACTTGTACTTTTGTATTTGCACCCCGTTGTGTGATTGTTTTGTGTGCGTGGATGTGCATTTTCTGGCCAAAGGTGGAAAACAAGATTTTGTACGTTCGTCCTTTTTTTTTCACCACTAGTAAGCCCCGTTGTACATTCAATCGGCAGCAGCACTTGACGCTCTGGTTGTGGTAGTTCCTCGTTTCTCGAGTACCGTAGTTAACGGGCCGCCTCAGCTCCCTCTCTGTGCCCCTCTTTCTGTACAGCACTCCTTGTCGATCCGCACCCTTTTTTTCTCACTCTGAACCTCCCCCGCTTCACTCTCCCTTGCTTTTTTTATTTTGTCGACCGTTGTCGAACCGACCAACCAATCAGCTCTACCACCAGTCACACGTGCTGATGCTGCAGCAGCTCGTCGACAACCGTATCATGTCTATTGAGGGGTCCACCGCCACCCCCCCCGTCGTGCGCATCACGGAGTTCCCGAACGCGGCGTATGAAGAAGACGGGTTCTGGTCTCAGGTGGGGGGAAAAGTCGTCCTTTGACGCAGGCGGCGTTATTTCCTTTTGTGGTTTGTTGTACATACGTGCTTGGAAGATATACACTCCGCCAGGACGAGTTCATGCGTCGTGGGTGCTGTCTTTAGTGTTTGATTCGTATCGGGAGCAGCGGTTGAGACGATTGGTGCTGAACGAGTAGTTTATGCGGGAGTACTGGAGGATGCAAGAGAAGAGACAACGTGCTTGCTTGCTTTTGATCGATCGTGTCGATGAACCGAGCGTGAGGAGATGAGGGTGTGAAATGTGTTGTTGGAAGCTCATCACTTGGTGATGTTGGTTGTGTGATGGTGATGGATGGTGTGTTGTTCTGAATTACATACGCCCATGGTATCTACTTAATGACTGCGGATTGGCCTTGCACCTGCGGACTGTGTTTGCGAGGTCCGCTACTTGGGCACTTGTATGGTGTCGTTGGTTACCCAGAACGAGAAAATCAAGAATGACCACGTTATTTTTTTGTTTCAACGAATCGACGCGCTCTTCTATGGCAGGTGGGCGCCATGTTCGCCATCCTGGTGGTGATCGCGGTGCTCTACCCCATCGCCAACGTCATCAGCGCCCTCGTGAAGGAGAAGGAGCTGCGCATCAAGGAAGGGCTGAAGATGATGGGCCTCACGGACGCCGCCCACACGGCCTCCTGGGTGTTCCACTTCGTGTGCCTCTTCTTCTTCACGTCCTTGATCATGGTGCTCGCCTCGGGAAGCCTTTTCGAGTTCAGGTACGTCAGAGGTCCCTGGTGTTTCCGGCGGGCACGCAGTAAATTTTCAAGTCGTTATCGGTATGGTGCTGGTCTGGTATAGTGCCAGTGAATTTACTTGGGCACATACCGGCACCAAAGAGGGACCTCTCCTGCTGTGCTGTATGCACGTGCATGTTTTCGTTTTTTGTTTGCCTTGTTGGATAACAACCCACATTTTCTCGGGGAGGGGGGGGGGGGGGCGGGCGTACTCTTGTGTTTTGCATGCTTTAGAAATTAGACCATTGAGCATGCGTCCTCGAGAGGACGGAGCATTGGTCCCACAGGACCGCTAGCCGATGGCCAATCGTTCCTTCCTTTTTTGTCAAAGGTGACTCAACACTGCACTTATTTCCCTACGTGTTGTATCATTTCTCTCTATCGGCCATCGACGTGGTCGGCGAGAGGCGCGGTCGATGTTGACCGAATAACCCCCACCCCCACCACCACCTATCCGAATTTGCAGTGACCCTGTCCTGGTGTTCATTTACTTCTTCCTGTTCTTCATGGCGAGTACGGCCTTCTGCTTCTTCATCTCGGGTGAGCGTGACAGATTATTTTTTGTTCGATTTCCCGGCTTTGAGAAAAAACACCGCAGCACACGGATTATTAGCCCACAGGCACAACGGGGCTTGCGGCTGGCTTTGTTCCGCTCACGTGTTTTGAGAGCACGCTCGACGTGGCAGCTGCTGTACATGGCAGCGACCGGGATGGCTTCGAGCGCGGTTCTCTATTAGTCTACAAGAGTCATTCGGTGGGAGCGGATGGCTTTCTGTTTTCGTTGCTCTGCTGGTCTGGTAAGCCATCTAATCTAGCACACAGCGTGCTTGATTGGAGCTATGATATTATAGTTGATGTGGTTTAGAGCAAACGGGAGAACGTTTCTCCGGCGCGCGGTCGCTTGTAGCAGGCAGTACGTTGCAACGTCGTGATATCCCCTGCCCACCCCCCACCCCCACCCCCTCGCCACCTTTGCGATCCCAGCCTTCTTCAGTCGCGCCAAGACGGCTTCGACTATCGGAACCATGCTGTTCTTCGTGGCCCTGTTCCCGTACTTCTCCGTCCAAAGCGACGACACCTCGGCGGACGACCGGCGCCTGGCGTGCCTCCTCCCGCCGACCTGTCTGGCACTCGGCACCGTTGCCTTCTCGGAGTTTGAGGACTCGGGGGAGGTTAGTGTTGCCGTTGGTGGTGGTGGTGGGAAACGGCGCTTCCATTCTTCACACAGGACCCGATTGGTACATAGTATTGACACGACTCGCGTGTCGAGGACGACGGCCCAGCTGCGCGCCCTGTTTGACGCTGGCACGAACCCGGTCGCCGAGGGCAGGCAAGGCCATACGGACGAGCAACAACAACGCCGGCTCCGCTTTTTTTTTGCGCTTGCAGAGACCACCACCACCCACCCCGCGCGCTCTTGTTTCCTTCCCCTGTGCCTCTACGCGTGTGGTGACGCCGTTGATTGGGCAGGGGGTGACCGCGGACACCGCGGGAGAGAGCGAGGATGGTTTCACGTTTAACGACGTCCTCGGGATGCTGTTCCTCGACATACTAATTTTCTCCGCCCTGGCGTGGTACGCCGGACACGTGAGTGTTCATTTGCCTCGGTTCGTCTTGATTTTCAGCACCCTATTTACTTGGATTGAGATTCCGGGAAATGGTATTTACCCGTCGATATTGCTGGGATTGAGATTCTGGGAGATGGCATACCCGCCAGGGTTTTGGTTGCCTGTTCATTAATAGAGACCTTCGTCGCGGGCGCTCAACCAACATGGCCAGCGGCCGCGGGATGCTCGCGACCTATTGTTCGTTTGCATGAACTGTTTATATCTTAATGTAACCCATGTTCTCCACGCTGTTGTGACACGCGCGTGTATCTCACCAAAAACAGGTGCTGCCGTCAGAGTGGGGCACGGCCAAAAAGCCTTGGTTCTTCTTGACCGCGAACTACTGGTGCCCCGGCAAAGGCACGGAGTCTGCCCTCAAGGACAACCTCCAAGAGCTGGAGCACTTCGAGAGCGAGGGCCGTGACTCGGTCGAGCCCGTCGAGGACGAGCTGCGGTCGCAGGTGGCGGCCGGGGAGTGCGTCGCCATCCGGGGTGAGTTGGTTGGTGCTGCTGTGTTAGGGGTGCGCCGTGTTGACCGGGCAGGACTCTGCTGCTGGTGTTGGCGGTGGTGGATGTTGTTTCGTATTCTTTTGGTCATACGCAGAACGAGTGACAGTAAAAGAGCGTGAGAAGTGCCGGGTGGTAAAGCAAATGGCAGCAATTAAGCGGAAATAAAATTTCGCTCGCGAACATGAACGCGCGCACGCGGTGGACGTGTACTGTACCGCATTTGGGAGAGCATGAGGTGAACGACCTGACCGTCATAAGTTTGTGTTGATACGTATGCAAATCTATTTTATATCTACACGAACAACAGGGCTTACCAAGGAGTACAAGAACTCTACGGGGGGCTCGAAGCTGGCCGTTGACAAGCTGGACCTCACCATGTATTCGGGACAGATCACGGCTCTCCTCGGCCACAACGGCGCCGGAAAGGTGAGCGCGGTGTGATGGTCACCCTGAATAGTGTGTGTGTGTGGTGTGTGTGTGTGGTACATTTTTATGTCGTACGCTCACGCGCAACCAACCATTTGCTGCGTCCATGCGACGCAGGTGGACTTGCTCGCGCTGAAGGACGTGTTGTACATAGCCCTGCGTCGTTTGTTTCACACGGCGGTAGCCCCCCCCCCCCCCCCCCCCC